TGATTAAAAAAATAGACTTGATAATATATAAAGTAGGCCAAAGCTAATAACCTAGAAAGACCCCAGGGTATTAAATTATCACAGAAAAAAATAGGAATATTGTCCCTAAAACAGTATTAAAATTTGATCCATGAAATAGTACTTGTTTGCAGTGAAATTAGTACAGTTACAAAGACTAAGCATTTCAGACCTTTTATAACAGTTTCACATTAACATGACATTTAATCCAACTGTAATTTTGGTCAATGGAATATAATTTTAAAAATTGCAACTTGAATTCTGTATATATTTCATTTTATTCTATTAACTTTGACATATGTAAGTATTTTATAAATATTGGTTTGTGACAGATTGGAAAGAAATGATCCCCACCATAGGTGGCTTGAGAAACACTCCTCTGAAATCGCTAATGCCAGATAACTACTTTCTGAATATTTAAATATAATTTCATCAGCCTGAGAATGTTATCAGGTCGAGTTTTGCAATCTCCTCCTACTGCCTTTTTCAGAATCACATGTATATAATTGTCATAATGTGTACCCAAGAAACAGCCCAGTCGGGGAGGGTATAGCTCAGTGGTAGAGCATGTGCCTAGCATGCACGAGGTCCTGGGTGCAACCCCCAGTCCGTCCTCTAAAAATAAATGAATAAATAAACCTAATTACCTCCCACCCCAGCCAAAAAAACAAAAAACCCACAGCCTCAGACACAATCTTTGATCTAAGTACGGGCAACAATTCTGTCCTCCATTTCTAGTCATTTGCTAAGCATCCTTGAAACGTTCTGAAGTTGTATTAAACTGCTATAAAAAAAAAAAAGGTAAAAGAGTACGAGTAAATCTACCACTAAAAATCTGAAAAAAAATTGAAATAGTTTCAAGGAAAAAAAATATTTACATATTCTTAGATAAAATAAGAAAGTCACTGCACCCATTAGCAATGGAGAGGAGACTTTCCTAAGTTTTTAATAATCTTGTGACACAACTGAATAGTAAGTCCGGAAATCCCTCTGTGGATGAAAAGATACAGAAACAGACGAAAACGGAGGCGCTCCTTATGGTGGCCCAGTCAATTAAATGTAATGGATGTGTGAATTGTAGTCATGTATTTTTACAGACGGCTCTGTACTGCCGAGTATGCATTCAGTGCATGATGTGTGAAATGCCGACGAAGGCTAGGGAATCTTTATTTATTTATTTATTTTTGTAAACTTAACTCTGTAAAGCTAACTGATGAATAAGCAAAAGTGAATGAAACAAGGTATTCAGAGGCATTTATTCTTTTTTTTAATAGACTTTATTCTTTTAGAGCAGTTGAAGGTTCCAGCAGAATTGAGCAGGAAATACAGAGAGTTCGCACGTAGCCGTCCCCACCCGCACATACATACTCCCCTGCCCTCAGCATCCCTCATCAGTGAGGCATATTTGGTACAATCGACGAACCACCATGGGCACATTATTATCAACCAAAGTCCATAGTTTACATTAGGCTTCACTCTTGACAGAGGCATTTTTTCTTGTCTATACTAATATTCCTTTGCACAACACCTTCTGTCTGCTGTTCATTGGAGTTGAAGAGGAAAGGCAGGGTTAAGAATTGGGAAGAACATTGCACCAGCTATGAAAGAATGTGGGTTCCTTTGCTAGTCTGTTACTAATTAGCTGGGTGGCCTTGAGTCAGTAACGAGCACTACTCTACTTTCTGTTTTGGGGTTTTTTTCCCCATCGGTTAAATGATCAGATTGGACAGGATGCCGCTTTGGGTCCATTCTGGACCTAAATGATCATGCAAATTTAAGTTAAAAAAAAGATTTTGAAAAGATTCTTTAAGATTGCAAGTTATCACATGAGTTACTTTTCTGCATATGTAAAAGGTGAGTTCACTGAGGTTCTCAGTGCCAAAGAACCTTTTGAAAGAGACCATCTATTTACATAAACTTGACACATAAGTGAAATGGAAAATAAAAATATAAATGTATTTATTAAAGTTCATGCTAGCCAGAAATTAAATTCAATTGTCAAGTCAACAGATATGTTCAGGACTAATATTGTATTTCCAAGGACAGAATTACATAATAAATAACACTGCCCGATGCTATGTTCTTTCTGTGAATACAGATTAAGGAATGACACTCTCCAATTCTGTGGTGTCTCTGTGAATAGAGATTATGGAGTTGGTATTGCTGTTTGAATTTGAATTCAGAAGACAGCTTACCGGGCAATCTGTAAAGTACTAAGCTCTGTGTGTTAATTGCACAGCATCCTGAGAAGCGGCAATGTAGGAATTTGGAAATGGACTTGAATCGGGCTAAACTGTTATATTACTCCTTGAGAAAATGAAACGATCGGTACAGTAGGCTGGGAGAGTGGGAATGGTTATATATGGTTTTTTTTGGCCTCATCAAGAATACAGGGGTACAGGATTTGGGGCAAATTCCAACCCGTTCAGGGCACTGCCACGTGGTGCAGCCCACTCTCGGGTTAAGGCAGGAGCTCTCAAGCCTCAGAATGTGTATCTTTGACAGAACGTGAGTTGATCCAGGTGTGTAAGATCCAGAACTCACATCATGAGAAAGCTGTTCATTTCTTAACTCTCTCAATTCTGATTTGTCCCAGGAAAAAGCATCTGTCTGGTCCCAGTGTGCTTAATACCCCTCTTAACTAGGAATCCCATTTGTAACTAAGAGAGAGTCAACCACGAGGGTCAAAGTCTTCTGCCCCCAAACGGTATCTAATATAATTTAATAACATTAATTTGTTACCAATTTTTATCCTGACCTGTTAATGCCAGGTGATACTGGCTTTTTAGCTAAGGTAGCAACATAATGTTATCTTTTTAAAATAGATTTACTTAATCCCAAAGGTATTTTGATTTAAAGAAAACTTTCATAGTACGTGGCTGGCACATTTTCTAAGATGATGTGCAAATGATTGAAACTTGGGAAACCTTGGGGTAGCAGAAATTACACTGAGCTGGAAGATGGGAAACTTGAGTAAATTTTATCTGAACCTTGTCGCTAATTATCGGATTGTCCTCGGGTCAGATGATGAATTTTTTATGCCTCCATGTCCTCATTATCCAGTAAGTATGATGATATTTGCCTAGTTGCCTTTGGAGTAATGATGTAAAGATTAAAATTAAATCATGGGTAGTAAAATAATGTAAAGTTGAAAGTTGTATGTACTTAGTGTTTCAGATACATAATAACAAACCTACTCTTTCTTTTCTCATCACGCCTTCAAGGGGAGGGGGACATGGTCATGCCACTTAGGAAAAATATTATCTCCGTTTTCTCTCTAAGGTCATGACATTAACTAGTGGTGTGTGTGTGAGAGAGAGAGAGAGAGAGACACTGACTACAGTTGTACAGTTTCTACGTTTACACTCTTCCAATATTTTTTTATTTTTAAATTGAAGTACAGTCAATTACAATGTGTCAATTTCTGTGCACAGCACAGTGTCCCAGTCATGCATGTACATACGTATATTCGTTTTCCTATACATTACATTTACACTGTTCCTAAATACTAAAGCTGTGTTGTCTTTTACTGATCGATTACGTTTATTGCGCCATTTTTTTTTCATGGTAATTAAAAAAAAGTTTGAATACTAAACTACGTCTAGAAAACAACCTAATGATAGTTATTGTTCGTCTCAAAGCTTAGTAAAACTATGATGACCTGTTGGAATATTTAGAGCTGTTAAAAATAACGGAGTTTAGATGTATGCCAAAATTGCTTCTTGACTTGTAATAATATTTGGAATCTTGCTTATTGTGTGTTTTTCACTGTGCTGAAGACCTCAAATTTTCTGCAGAATCTGATACCATCTTTTCACAAAGAGATTTTACTGTTATATAATGTTTCCTAGAGACTTTAGAACTGCTTTTTCCAATTTAATCACATATCTTCTTGAAGCTGAAGTTAAATTTATTGATTGGGTTAAGTTATAATAATTCATTTAAATATCTGATCTATTTTGATATTAATGATGAATCATGTTAGGATTTTGGCTCTACTGTATTTTGAGACATACATACAATGAAGTTCCGACTTATTAATTCATGATGTGGAACGGAAAACATTCATGCACGTAGACATAATGCTAGCGGTTGTTTGATTTCTCATTCTATTTAGCAAAGCTTATTTTAAGCACTACTGCTGCTCGATCAGAAAATGATAAGCATTCTGATCTCATTCAGATATAAATATTCAGCTGGGGTCTGTGGCAGCCAGTTCTCAAATCTGACAGTCATCAGAACCACCTGGGGGCTTGCCAAAACACAGATCATTTGCCCTCCACCCACAAGCCTCTGATTCCCGGGGTGGGTCCTGTGAGTTTGCACTCCTACCAACTTCACCACTGATGCTGTGGCTGGTGGTAAATGCTGTCCTAGGACCACCTTTCTTTTTTCCCCATTGGGCTAGGGGCAGGCAGTGGAGCAGGACTGTGAAGCCCACAGACTTCAGTGCAACCCCCAGATTTCAACCTTGGCTTTGACACTTACGAGCTAGGTAACCTAGACACGTTAGGGGTCAATTTTGTCATCTGTAAAAGAATAGTAATTATATTTCCTGGGAATATTGAAGAAAATAATGTATATTAAGTGCTTAAAACAATGCCTCGCACGTTATGAGCACTGACTCAATGCAACATTAGTAACTAATAGTGATGGTAGTTAGAGCGGTAATAAACTAGTTAGTACTAATAGACCAGCTAGTGGTAATAGAATATCCATTATTTGCCTCAGTTCAATTGCAATAAAAGTTTATTAGTCTTTTCTAAGGAAGGCTGGACACAACATTTGGTTTTCATCAATGACATTTCTAGGGGAAACATGTTGGCAAGAAGGAATGCAGTGAAAAGAAATAATGCCCTTAGTGAAAGAACTTTCAGGAGCACATTGAAGATTGGAATTGAGATCGCAGGTTAAGCAGAGTGTATCCATTTGTGCAAAGTTTCTCAATACTCAAAGCAATGCTTTTTTTTTTCCCCTCTTAGCAACAAGAGCAAGACCCAACCAACCTATACATCTCCAATCTCCCCATTTCTATGGATGAGCAGGAGCTTGAGAATATGCTGAAACCCTTCGGACACGTCATTTCCACAAGAATACTGAGAGACGCCAATGGAGTCAGCAGAGGCGTTGGCTTCGCCAGGTGAGACACCTGCTCTGTGTATTACCTGACTCCCCTGTTTCCTTTCCATTCCATCCCTTTCTAGTCCTAGATTATAGAAAATTCAAGGAAAAGTAGCTTATCAAACCACCTCTCTGCATCTTGCCTTCGAGTCAAAGTATTCCAACATAATTGTATGTTTTTCTTGCTAAAATATTGACATAGAAAGTTCTGTATGTGTCTCAAGTCATAATAATATGCATAGCCAGTTCCCAGCCCTCTCTATGCCTGTAAATCAACAAAAGGAGATGCTGCTGACTCCTTCCAGGGGTCATAAATGCCCTGTACCCACAGCCAAAGAGCCCATGTCGTGAACAAAGCATCCAAATGTTTTTGCATTGATTTCCCAAGATCAAGATGGTACAGTTTCTCAGTCTGGCGAAGGGAGAAGAAAGGAAAGATTTAGAGGAAGAGGAACTGTTGGGAAGCCCCAAGGAACTCAGAAATAAAAAGGGAAGGGGAAGAGGGCATTTGCATTTAAGAGGCCCTGGCTGGATGCTTTTGATGTTTTAAACAGACCAGAAAAAGAGCAAATGGTACTTTTTTTTTCATCTTCGAGAAAAGAAAGAGAAGTTTTCATTTTAACTTGAAGAGAATGTTTACCAAAGAGTATCTCAGCCAGGGATGGAGTTAACAATGGTTGCTCCTGCTGTGCTTTCAAGAAAAAACAAAGTTGAGGAAACTACAGAGAAAAAGAAACCGCTGGAGGGCAGAGGAGACAAGTAAAGGCTGTCTGGTGTGCCTCTGTGCCTCCCGCTGACTTGGCACCAATGGACGGGTGGATGTCCGAGTCATCTGGAAGGCAGCCCCTCGCAGGCAGGTGTGTCCACCTTTGGTGAACCCTGCCATCCCCTAGGAAAACCATCCCAAACCAACTTCCGTTAACCCACTTGCAAAGGTAAGACCACGTAGATATTCACTGATCCCTAACTTGACTTTCTTGAGGTCACGGACCATGTCTGAAAATCCTTTTTTATTCCTCACGATGTTCTGCACATAGTAGACCAAGAGACACAGGCAGGGCACGTGTCCGATGACGCGAAGAAGAATGAAAAATATCTCCCTGACTTGAGCGCACGGATGAGGCATTTGAGCTTTCAGAACCTTGTTGGCAGTTGACTTTCATGGTCAAGGCAGAGCTCATCAGACCACCTGGGTCTCTGAAACGTGCCAGTGTCATCATTCTTGGTGGTGCGCAGCCTGCCTTTGGGGGCCTGGCCAGGGCGGGAGGGGCTGAAATGACTCCTTCGTGAGGCACACACAGTCCTTTGTTTCTTTAGCCACCTCCTGCCCCCGCCCCCCACCCCAAAACTCTCTCTAACAAATGAGTTTCTCCTTCATCTGTGCTTCTGCTAAGAAACGAACATTTCAAACTCATCCAGAGAACACATTTTCTAAGAAGATCTATTATTTTTAAAACAAAGGATTTGGGGAACAAAATGTGTTCATTTGCTCGGCTGCTGTAACAATACGACAGGCAGATGGGGGTGGGGTTAAACAACAGAAATTAATTTTCTCCCGATTTTAGAGGCGAGACGTCCAAGATCAATGTGTCGGTAGGTTTGGTTTCCTCTGCGTGTTGTAGATGGTCTCCTTTCCCTTGAATTTCCACGTGCTCCTCCCTTTGTGTTTTTTCCTCATCTCTTCTTTAAAGGGCATCAGTCAGATGGGATTAGGACCCACCCATCTGGCCATGGGTTGATTTCATTTCCCCTTTAATAGTCCGACCTCCAAGTACAGTCACCTTCCGTGGTAAGAGGACTTAGGGCTTCAACAGGAACTTGGTGGGGGCCACGATTCCCCTCGTGACACAAAAACTGAGCGCTTCATTTCTCCCACATTTATCTTTTCTGTCCATTTGGAGTTTGCTGAAAAGAATATTCATCATTAAGTGCCAAGTAATGCAGGCAGTAAGGGGCAGGACTCTGATCGTAGTATATGACGTCGCCACAGAGCAAAACCTGCACAGGTTTTCTTTGGGAACTAAGGGAAGAAGGGGATTTTTAACTGTGAATTTATGCCCTCTCTGAATGCAGCCTGTCCTCCTCAGTGCATTCTGCAAATAGAAGCCACAAGTGATTCTTTTTTTTAAATAAATTTATTTATTTATTTCGTTTTTGGATTTTTTTTTTTTTGAGAGGGAAGGTAATTAGGTTTATTTGCATCTTTATTTTCAGAGGAGGTACTGGAATTGAACCCAGGATCTCGTGCATGTTAAGCACGCGCTCTACCACTTGAGCTACACCCTCTCCCAGAAAGTGATTCTTTAAAAATGCAGGTCTGATCATGTCAGGGGCCTGCTGACTTCCCTTCTATATGGCCTGAGTGATTGGGTTTGCCCACCCGGTCAACACTGTCCTTGAGGGCATTATCCCCAACACGCCTCATCTTCTTGGCTGGCTGTCTTCCCGCCTCCTGTCCTGGGCACCAGCTGCCTCCTTGACTGTTACACTCTCTGTGATTCCTCCCCGGCTTCTGCCTTCATCCCTCAGACATCAGCTTAAGCTTAAGGTCTTTCTTGCAAAGAAGTCATCACTGACCTCCAAGTCCAGCCTTCGGACAAAATCGGGTGCTCTGTAACAGCTCCCGTCAAAGTTTGGGTTTTGTTTCCTCGAGTGAAATTGATCACAGTCATCATTAAATCACTCTTGAATTTCCATCATCACCCACTGCATTGCACATTCCTCTTCATAAAATTTTCTTTTCCATTTTTGGATGATTAGGTGGGTGGTAGACTGCGTAACTATGAAGTTCCTAAGTGGAGAAATGGCTTGCATGGTCTTTTAAAACGTTGAGCTTTAAATGTGAATTATCCATCACATTCCGGTATGGAGAGTTAGGTCTCTGTACTCGGAATCATGCATTTTCCAATTTCAGAAATTTCCATGTGGATTGAAAGGGAAAACATAGGTTCGAGTCAAGCCAGTGATTTCTTATTGCCCCAGAAATCAAAAGAAAATATGAATTTGCCTCTCTTTTATAAAAGGCCAGGACACTGATGCAGAATAGGTGTTTCATTCTCCGTGTATCTTTTTTTCTAATTCTTATGTTTAGTTTTTTGTTAGTTTTTAATGGAGGTGGCCCCAGGACCTTGTGCATGCTAAGCACATGGTCTGCCACTAAGCTATCTTCCTTCCTCTCCATGTATTTTACACCTGAAATTCCAAGGAGCAGAATCTCACATGATTGACCTCATTTGGTGGTGTGAGAGAATAATTTTAGCTATTCCCCATGTAAGTAGAGCTGCTCAAATTCCTACTTCCTCACACTTGAACATTTGCCGGGTACTTTCTCAAACAGCTGTGGCTACAGCCATCACTAACGTGATCGTTCACAAAGTAACTCTTAAACAAGTTTTCCTCCTTTGAAAAATATCATCCTTTTCCCACCCAGACTCTCAACTGGGGCGCCCCCTCTGACGTACAGAACAGATATGATCTTGAGTCATCATTTCCTCACTTCTTCCAAGGATGGGACACAGATGGTGAGAGAGAGCAAGGAAGACGTGCAATGCATGTGGTTCTTAAAGTAGGTTCCAGGACGGAAGCCACAGCGTCACCTGGGAAATTGTTAGAAATGCGGATATTTGGGTCTCACGTGGACCCACTGAATCAGCATTAGAGGAAGGAGAGAGTAAGTGGGGTTTTAATAAACACCTTGGGCAACTCTGCTGCTCTCAGAAATTTGAGAAACAGCATCTGAGGGCGTTAGGACTGGCTCTCAGAATCATCTGGCGGGTCTGCAAAGACTCCGGCTTCTGGGCTCCACTCAGAGACTGTTCCAGGCGGAGTTGGTTCCTATTGGTGCCTCTGTTGAAACTGCACGTTCTCAAAATGTGCTAATGACTAACCTCATCACTCCAGTCACTTTCCCCCATCTGCTCAAGAATAGGGACCATGTCTTCTTCTTCTTCGTACCTGTCCCAGCACCCGGACCTGGACCCAGAATGCTGTCTGACACATAACTGAGTTTAATTTTTGATGATGAATAAATAAAATCTTTTTTTTTGTATGACTGTAGCAATAATCAGGGACATAGCATCTGATGATCATGATTCTCTGATTCTGAGATGACTGTCCTGGAATATCAGAGAAATTTCTATTAGACCACCATCAACCCAGCTCTGATTGGTTGACAAGTTGTTTCTTCCTCTGAAAGTTCACAGAGTCACAGGCATTATTAAAAGAAAATGTTAGGGACAAAGGTATAGCACAGTGGGTAGAGTGTGTTCCTAGCACGCACGAGGTCCTGGGTTCAATTCCCCAGTATCTTCATTAAAAAATTAATAAATAAACCTAATTGCCGCCCCCCAACAAAAAATAAATAAATAATAAATAAATAAATAATAAATAATTGCTTATGCAATTGGGATAAAAGTCAGCCTCTAATTATGCCTAGTAAATTGTACACAGCTCTTACCTGACTATTTCAATCCATGTGACATGAGTAATTTTTTTTCGGCAGGTGTCATTTTGAGTTTTACCACTGGTAACATCTAGCTGCCAGGTGTGTTCTTACTGTGTCATCTTCACTCGTTATATTAGTTTCTGATGTTCAACATATTGATTTGAAATCTTTATACATTATGCTCCGTTTATAGTTTTTATAGAATATTGGTTCTACAGTGTATAGCCAGTGCTGTACAATGTGTCATTGTGGCCTATTTACTGTATACATAGTAGTGAGTTAGTACCTCTTAATACCCTGCCCCTATCTTGACACTCCTCTCATCCCTTTTCCCATTGGTAACCACTGGTTTGTTCTCTGTATCTGTTTCTTTTTTGTTCTAACTAGTTTGTTGTATTTTTTTAGATTCCACGTGTAAGTGATAACATATATAGTATTTGTCTTTCTCTGTCTGAGTTATTTCACTAAGCTTAATATCCTCCAGGTTCGTCCATGTTGTTACAAATGGCAACATTTTATTCTTTTATATGGCTGAGTAGTATTCCATTGTGTGTGTGTGTGTGTGTGTATATATA